AGAGAGAGAGAGAGAGAGAGAGAGAGAGAGAGAGAGAGAGAGAGAGAGAGAGAGAGAGCTGTGTGGAAGTCAGAAGGCAAATTCTATCCATAGTGTGAATTTAGGGTAGAAACTCAGGTCTTCAGGCTTGGCATAAAGCACCTTACACAGGAGCCATCTCACTTTTTAGTAGTACTATTACCAACATCTTATAAACATGTGAAAATGGTTCTAAGTTCAACATATTTATACTCACTTTTGATCTTATATGCCTCATTTGTTGCACTGCTGTATTCAATCACTGACAAAAATCTCAAATATTTCCTTCATATGGTATTTATGCAACATACTCTATTTCTGTTTTAATTTTCTTTATGTATAATCATATTCTATTAGTTTTTTAACTCATACTTTATCATTTCCCCATACTCTACATTTGGATCCAGTTTATATTCACTCTCTTGCACCACTTCACAGGTATCAGAGTCATATGTATTGTGTACTGATGGTTTTTTATCAGCTCAACATATGTTTGTAACATAGACCTCTTCCACAAACTCAGGGCAACTATTTATTTTGGGGCATATTCCCTTAAGTATCTGACAGGCATGTTAACCTGATTATGTGAAAATCTGAACTTTTGTACTCCCTGCAAAAATCTACCTTGTAGATTTCAATCTGTTCAATGGTATATATTATATTCAGATGTAAAACATGAAGGTCCCATATGACTTGATTTCTCTCCTGACCATATAATTCACAAAAATTATTTTATTCTACATTCGAAATACAATTTAATTAGTCTACATGCCAGTAACTCTATTACTAACACACTTTCCCAGACACTATTCTTTCTGCCTGGATGTTAATAAAACCTCATAATTCATCGACTTATACCAACCCACTTTCCATGTGTGGAATAATCAGAAGGCACAGGCAAATGTGAGCCATGTATTTATATCAGATACTTATTGAAACAAATTAGTCAACGAATCCTTGTTCCTCTTGGATTAAGAAACCTTTAACATACCTGAGAATGCCCCTCTCTTTTAGCCCTCATCCCTTCTACAATCTCAGTAGAATTCCCGAGCTATTATTATCCCTCTCATTCTGTCTGCTATCTACTAACTTGAGTATTATTCCACTTTCTCAGTAACTTCCCTTATCCAAACTTTGAAATATATTCTTTCTTCTATCTGGAATAGAATTCCGCAGAGATCTTCTTCAGTCAATCTCTGTTGAATTGACACCTTCTGAGGAAGATTTACCCTCTCTTGCCATTTGTTTTTACTTTTGTTTCAAGACAATGTCCCTCTACATATTCTAGGCTGACCTGGGGATTGAATAAGCCCCAGTGGCTCTGAGCCACAAGTGTTGGGGGCTGCAAACTTCCACTTCCACATTTGACTCTTAAAATCAGTACATATCATATTAATGCTTTTCTCTGGTTTGTTATATTTATTTTTTATAGCATTTATCATCAAATGGCATACTTTTTGGCTTGGATTGACAAACCTATCTTTCACATTACACATTCTATGAGAAATTAGATATTTATCCTTTAATGCTCTGACATACCCTATTGATGTAGAAAAACGTATGGACTGTAGCAGCTATTCAATGAACATTCTTTGAAAGGATGAATTATTTCTGTAACTGTTCCTCCAGCTCTATTTCTCCACAAATTAACACACTAACACAAAAACATGACAAGTTCTGAAAATTAGTCTGTAACCCATAATAAGAAGTAAAAGAAGGGGCTCGAGAGATGGCCCAATGGCTTGTGCTTGCTGCTCTTGCAGAAGACCTAGGTCAGTTCTTAGCATCCACAGATCGAAAGTTTCTGTAACTCCAGTTCTTAGGAATCTGATGCCCTCTTCTGACCTCCAGGAGTACCTGCATGCTCATGCCCCACATGCACTCGGGAACATATATATTCACATAAAATAAAATCAATAAATTTCTATTTTACAAAAGAAGCAGACATTTGAAGAACAAATGTTTCCTCAGAGAATGAAGACTGACTTTTAAAATCCTTCCAGGTATAACATTTGTCATAGTTTCATCAAACATCAGATTTTGTTTACAGATGTGTTTTTATTTTTGTTTTGTTTTGTTTTCTAAACTTCCCACATTTACTATTTGCCCTGAATATAAACTCTCCCAGATAGTTTAAGGCACTTTCTTTCAAATCTCACAGCATTGGCAAGGGCTGTCATCTCTAACTGTTTTAGAGTGTTTTAATTTCCCCTTCTATCCTTCCTTGACAAGATGGAGTTGCTTTGCTAGCCTGTTTCCATAGAGTACGTGACCTTTGGGTCACATGCTTATATTTTCAGAATGTCTTCAGGTCTTATATTCTGCATGGAGATGTCACCGCTAGGAATGTGTAAACATCTCATTTGTTTCTATAACTGCATTGTGGAAAGGATTAAGGTGAAGGTTTCCTTGTTGTCTGCCTCCTTTAGAGACTGCATTATCTTGTTTGTGTTTAGTCTCTTTTCTGTTCGGGGAAAACTTTCACAACCAGGCATCTTGGCTTGTATCTTACATTGACCCCTGTGCCTGAGATTTTTACTCCTCGAAATGAAACACTAGAAATTTCTGGTTTTCTCTAGTTTTCTTTCTGTAGGTAGTTTTCAAACACTTGTCTTAAAATGTTCACAATGTCAAATGAGTGAAAAGACTATGCTGTATACACAGAGAAACCCACATGACACAAATCTTTAAAATCATTTTCAGCAATATGCTGATAATGCCCTCTCATGAACAAATGTTTTCTTTGATTTTCATAGAAAAATTCTCTGATCCTAAATAAGCAATATTGAACAAAAATGACTCCCTTACATTTCCTAGAGTTTTGCTATTGTTGATTTAAGAAATGAAAAAAAAATCCTCCAGTCTTTGATCAGATAAGATATAAATTCCATTATTTTGATCAATCTCTTAATGAAAGTTATACTTAAAGGTATAACAAAATCCTCACTTTGATGCTGTGGTATCTCCTATATTCTAAGATAAAAATAAAGCAAAACTGCATTAGACTTAGTAAAATGACCTTAGGATTATACTAAAGTGGCTTGGCATCTTTTGCAGAATTTCTCTAACATTTATGAAAACAGCCTAGATAATAATATGGCATTTAATTAATGCACCGTTCTTCTATTTTTACAAGCTTCATTTTATAGTTGTTTGTGCTGTGCATACTAATGTGTCTTTATCTTTTAACAGATGTTAATTATCAAAACCTTTTTGCACTTTGCAAGAAATGCATGCCCGCGCTTTGCAGCATTTGAGAAAGATAACCAAAACTCACCATTTTCTAGTTTAGACTTTAGAAACCCTTGACTTTCTAATTCATCATCATATTGGGTAATTTTGATGACAAAAACATTCCATTCAAATACCTACTTTGGAATTTAAAACTATAATCTTCGAATTAGAACATTTTAATGAATGTAAAAACAGCAGGTTCTGCCAAAATGCCTCTCTGTCCTTAATTAGGTTTAAAGTGTGATGCTGAAATGTTAAGATGAGTAGAAGGGAATAGCAGCAACTTACCAAAATTAGAAGCATATTCTCCAATGAACCTCTTGGTAAGAAACCTTACAGTAAGTGCTGTTAAAGGAATAGATAGGATTTAGGTTTGTTTTATTTTAGAACACTGATAATTCAGTTAGGTACATCATCTTGATTTTTACACAATAATTAGCAAGCCTTAGAAAAGAGCTTAAGACTTTACCGAATTCTGGCCTGAAAGCTGTGAAAAACCATAATTCTGTAGATAGAAGTATGTGATCTCACACGCTACACATGTAAATTGTTATAAAATTCATTAACAAATGCAAACATGTACAATGCCTTACTTTCTAGAGTACAAATATAAACCTCATTATATTTGAAACCCAAAGATCTTACATTTATTTTCCCTATTAATTAAATCTTGTTCTAAAGTTCTGGGTGTAGAAAGGGTAGAGGCAGTGTCCAGCATGTGTGGTTGGTGAGGAATGTGGAGAGTTAGTGCCCAGGAAGCAGCAGAAGACTCCGGTAGCCCATTGTCTTACTAAAACTCCCACGACTGCTAGTTATTCAGCTCTTGCTGTTAGGCTCTTGTTCATTGGTGACCATCTTATTGCCAGAACAGAACAGAATAGTAACTTCCACAATTAGGGCCTTTTTGTGCTTGGTTCTAGGATGCCCACAAGCAGTGTCTTTAGAAAGTCATGGCCCTTTAGTAATACGACCAATCAAAAGCACACTCCATACTCCATTCAGCTCTGTGCACTGTACCCTGACAACAGAAGAATACTTTCAAAACAATTAACCACTGATGGGTTTGCAGGCAAGAGTACTGGGGTAAGAAACAAATGGGAAAGTGATGAAATGGTTCCTTGTTGGTCATCACAATTTTAAACATCAGTAGAAAAAGATTACAGACTCATATTTCAAGCAATCACATTGCCTCACCTCCCTAAACAGCTCATAATTAAACAATGACTCGCCCGAAAGGTTGAAAACTCACACAAAAAATTAATGCCAATTATTTCAGAGTGAGTTTATTATTACTTGTTGTGGCTATTATTTAACAGCCCAGTACATCTCTAAAATCATGCTGGACAAGACAGCAAAACTCACCTGATTTCCCTGTACCTTTGCCACCCAAGACAGCAAGCTTCACATCATTCATCTTGAGTAACTGGTTCAGTTTTGGAACCCTACTGACTAGAGCTAAGCATATGTTGTTGAATTTTTTTGAATTTCCCTTTTATGGATGTCCTTCTTTTCCAAGGACAACTTCACCATATATTTCTACCATCTAATAATAACTTGAAAAATGTTTGCCTTTGGTACATTTCAACTGATAGTCTCAAATATTGGACTAATATTTAGACACTGAGATTTATGAAGCCAACAGTAATGTATTTTTAACAGAAGCTTCGTTCATAATCCTCTAGAGAATCAAAAAAATGTCCTATTTTTATTTAGAAAAATTCTAGAAGATATGTAAATAGTCATATAAATTTACTCTGATGGGGTCATTTTTACTTTTTATTTATTTATTTAAGAGGATTTCATATATGTATCCATGATGTTTTGGTCAAAGTCTCCCCCAGTCCTTCCCCACCAAATCTTCCCAGATTACCTTTTCCAGATCTCCTTTCTTGCTCCACATACTTTAAAAAAAAATGGGTTCAATTGGTATTGTTAGTATGTGCATGGATATAGGGCCATCAACTGGAACATGGACAACTTATCTAGAATCCTTCCCCAGCAGTCAATAGCTGCCAGGAGCTCCCTAACTAGAGGTGGGGTTTCATAACCCCCTCCCACATCCATGATATGATTTTGAATGACTTGATTTTGTGTATGTCTTGTGTATTCAGCCAAAACTGCTGTGAAGTTATGTGTGCTATGGGTCTGTCAGATCCAGAAAACACTACTTCCCACATTCTTCTCCAGCTTCTAGCTCTTATAATATTTATACCCTTTCTTCTATGATAGTACCTGAGTCATGAGAGGAGGCATGGGATGTAGATATTCCCCATTAAGGATTGAGCTCTACATAGTCTCTTATTCTCTGAAGTATGACCAACTGTGATACTCTTAATTAAAGCATAATATATTGGAAATGAAGCCTCTACGCTGAGAATGGACAGTTGTACTCATCCATCAGTGTAGAGAAGACTATTTTATTAACATTTGTACCATATCTTATTTTCCTTTTGTGAATGGCAGTAATAATCTCAGTCATTAAAAACAGAGCAAGGAGAAAGTAAACCTAAGATATATGAATCTAGGTTAATGGCAATGGCAGTGCATGTCTAGATCACATATACTAATCATATGTGATCCTCGAGCTGAAAACCACTTATACCACCTCGCAACTTTCTGAAGCACCTTTCAATGAATTTTTCATTTTAAAAATATGAATTTCCAGTGGATAGCAAATCTACTTATCATTGGAAAAGTGGTAAACAGAATCGTCCTATTTCTTTCCGACCTGCTTTAAAAATAGGAAAACACTTCAAAAGAAACACAATTGGAGGTGACATTGTGTGTAATTCACTATGGGTAAGTTGATAACTGATGACCATTCCTCCTCCTTTAACAGTTCCCCCAGTGTGAAGTTTCATCCAGACTGCATTCAGAATCACCATGGAAGCACACGGGTATAAGAAGGTCTCCATAAAGATTTAGCTGAGTAGAGAAGCCTCGCCATGAATGTGGGGGACACCATCCCATAGACTGACATCTCGGACTGAATAAAAGGAAGAAAGTGAGATGAGCACTGACATTCATCTCTCTCTGCTTCCTCCCTGTGGATGTGATGTGGCCAGCTACATCACACTTCTCTGACAACGTAGGCTGTATCCTGAATGTGGGAGGCAGAACAAACCCTCCCTTTCTTACTTAGTCAGGTAATTTGTCACATCTGTAAGGTGCTTACCTATGACTTTCTTCTTATCTGTCACTGTTAGAGATTTAAAAACAAGTTTCATCCCCAGGACCCATATCACAGATACTTGTAACTCCAGTTTCAGGGAATTGATGCCCTCTTCTGGCTTCTACAGGTACCTGCACACACAGAGAGAGAGACATACAAAAAAGAAAATAAATATGTTTTGAAAAAAAAGAAAATATATTTTTGAAATAAAATTAGCTTTGGATAGTTTTATATATGATATGATATTTATTGTTGAAGACTAATCTTTTTAAGAATAAATGATCATTTAATTTTATAAAACATAAGTTCTCAAGCAGTTCACAGATTTAGACAACTTATGGATGTTCAGGAATTTGCATGTTGTGTGGGCATTTGATAGAGTTTGAGTAGAAAATGTAGAGGTGGGCAGTTAAGAACATTTGATCTCTCAGCTTTGTCTTTCTTCTTTTCCGGGACTCTTATTGCAATGTTTTAGAACATAAATAGCATTGCAATATACAGACAAGAGGCAACTGGTACACAATCATAAATCCTACAAAATATTTGCCAAACAAATTAAAGCCAGATACTTACCTACCCAGATCATCACAACCATGGCCACTAGAATATAAGATGTAGCACGAATCTTAAAAGGTCTTATTAATAAAGACAAACCTGGAGCTAGGTATTGGAGTGAATGCTGGAAGATCAGAGAAGCAGAACAAGCCACAGCTTCCACACCTCGCCAGTTCTTCAGCTGATCCTGTTTCGTCAGACTGGAAGCCTCTGAGTTCTCATCCAAATAGATCTCAGCTGAACTGTTGCTAAAAGCCTAAAAGCTTAACCAGCCAAAAGCCTCTAGTTTCTGGACCTCATGCCTTATATACCTTTCTGCTTTCTACCATCACTTCCTGGGATTAAAGGCGTGAGTCACCATGCCTGGCTGTTTTCAGTGTAGCCTTGAACTCACAGAGATCCAGACGGATCTCTGCCTTTGGAATGCTAAGATTAAAGGTGTGTGTGCCACAATTTTCTGGCCTCTATATCTAGTGGCTGTTCTGTTCTCTGACCCCAGATAAGTTTATTAGGATGCACAATATATTGGGGAACACAATATCACCACAATAAGACTTCTATTAACACACAATGCGATAATTATTTGGCAAAATATTATTGTCTTGATAATTACCACTTCACTTGCATCTTACCTAACAGTCCCCTCGTTAAGTGCCACATCAGCTAGATAAAGCACAGGGACAAATAGCCAAACAAGTGGAAACACATGAACTATGAACCAAAGGCTGAGGGGCCCCCAACTGGATCAGGCCCCCGAATGGGTAAAACAGTCATTTGGCTTGATCTGTTTGGGAGGCATCTAGGCAGTGGTACCAGGTCCTGGGCTCATTGCATGAGTTAGCTGTTTGAAACCTGGGACTTATGCAGGGACGCTTGGCTCAGTCTGGGAGGAGGGGACTGGACCTGCCTGGACTGAGTCTATCAGGTCGATCTCAGTCCTCGGGGGCAGCCTTGCTCTGGAGGAGGTGGGAATGGGGGGTAGGCTGGGGGGAAGGGGAGGGGGGCAGGAAGGGGGAGAACATGGGAATCTGTGGCTGTTATGTAGAACTGAATAGTATTGTAAAATTAAATTAAATTAAATTAAAAAAATAAATAAATAAAAATGCCACATCAGTGTCCCCATAAACACCTTTTTTGTACATGTGCCTATTTTTGTCTGAACAAGTATGTGAAAAAGCCTGTTACATAACAAAATGATTTCCCACAGTATTTGGTCTGGGAAGACTGCTGTGGGAGTCGGGATCTATTCATGGTATTACAGCTCTATGAAGATCTGCTTTAAATTACATAAATCACTTCTGAATACTGGAAAAGAACCCACTTTTCACAGGGTGTTTGAATTCTGGTCTCTCTCTCTCTCTCTCTCTCTCTCTCTCTCTCTCCTTTTCCTTTCTTTTGCCTCTTGACCACTTAACTCCCTCTTCTTCCTCCCTGTCTCTTTCTCTCCCCCTTTCTTCCCTTTGACTTGGAGTGGCTCCTCAGCAATAATGGACAGTTCCAGATCCTCCTGGCATTTCTTCTGTCACTGTGGTAGTCTTCATTTAGTCTGCTAGGTAGGTTTTCTTACCATTATAATTTTAGTTCTAGTACATTTTATTATATCATCCCTTTAAAACAAGTCAAGTGTGCTTTGTTTATGTCTAAATTTCTTATTTTGGATCTGTAAGGCAGACCCCCAAGGCCTCCTTTTCATTTTTTTCTCCTACTAAATTCACTTTTGCAAATGAGACAGATTTGCAACATATTGTTACAGGCTTGGAATAACAGGTATTTGAGATGCTGAAACATGAGGATCATAAATTCCAGGCCAGCCTGCAACGAAGGGTGAGCTCAAAGCTAACCAGGACAAGTTGGTGAGATATTATTTTAGAAAACAAAAGAGTAACAAAATAGGTCTTGGGAAGTAACTCAGTGGAATAGCCCTCACTCAGCATGAATGAGACTCTAGTTCCAATCTCAAGTCCACATTGCAATAATAATAATAATTACTAATTTATATGTATTTGAGTATTCCATATGACTTTAAGACTGTTTTCTCCTTTATTGCTCTTGTAATAGAATAGAGTATATACTAGTTGCAGTTTAGAGAAACTCTTTTGTGATACCCTCTGCAGATTTACAACTGGCTGTACAGAATCCCCATCATAACTGACTTCCCCTTTACAGACTCCTATAAAAACTATATTACATTCCAGTAAACCATGCTGCATGTGGTTTCACCATATACAATATATCTTCCAGTTACACAGAATCACACATCCTACAGCTAGAGTCAACAAAATGGAAGTATTAATATCATTTCAGAGTAATCTAGAAATCCAGTTGACATGGTTACTAAACTTGACCTGTAAAAGTTCCGCCTTCGCAATCCTAACTACTTTGTGAATGTGTTTTTGCAGCACAGTCTTTCATTTGCATATGCTATCCCAAAGGACTGTTTTATTCAATAAATAATACTAGTAATTAACTCAATTATATGGGCCTATTTTTCAGTTTTGTGCAAAAGAAAAATGATGAATACCTCACCAATTTTCAAAAGATTTCAAAGCATGCCTGAGACTAAATAATTGAATGGCTTTGCTAATTTTTCTCAGCATGTGTTCTTATAATTGCAATTATCTTTTCAAGGTAATGATCCTGTATTTATTTTACTTTTAAATTATTCCTGAGATGTTTATTGTCATAGGTCTTAGTTTTCCACTACTCTTATAAAAACTGAAACATGATAGCTAATGGTAATTAGAACCCAGCTGGTCACCCTTTTTGCCTTCTCAAGAAAATTTATGCCAGGTTTTCTGTGAACACTTAGTGGTTTTCTTTGAAGTTAATTTAGTTTTCCTCAAAAGAAAGATAAATTTTTCATTAGCTTATTCATTCATTCATTCATTCATCAATCCATTCATTCATTCATTTTATCCATGTCACCAGGGACTGAACTCGGTCTCATGCATGCTAGCAAGCATCTACCACTGAGCCACATCCCTACCTTAATAAGCTTCTTTTTTAATTTTTGTCTTTATTTTGAGAATTTCATACATGTAGATAATGAAATGTAATCATATCAAGCACTACACTCCATCCAGGTTCCCTCAGACCCCTCCAATATGCCTCACTCAATATTTGATATCATTTTTTTAAGATCCACTTAATTCAGTTAGTGCTGCCCATTTGCATGTGTGGGCAGTCCACTCGCTGGAGCATGGAAATGTACCAGGGACCACATCTCCAGAAGAAAATAATTCTCCCTCCCCCAGCAGCTGCCAATAGCTTCCCAGTAAAGAACGGGGCCTGAGGATCATCTACCTATGGGTGCCATGACTTTGGATGACTTGATTTTGTGCAGGACTTGTGCAGGTGACTACTGATATAATGAGTTCATGATTACCATAGTCAAGTTATGTTCAGAATACAGCACTTCATATTACACTTTGTGTGTGTGTGTGTGTGTGTGTGTGTGTGTGTGTGTGTGTGTGTGTGTACATACACTGGCATGAGTGTGAATATCAGAGGAAAACTTTCTATGTGTGGATTTAACTTCCATGTAGCTTGAGGAAGGTTCTCTTGCTCTCTTCTGTACACAACAGGCAAGATGACCCACATTTCTGGGGATCCTTATGTCTCTGTTTCCCATCTAACCAGAGGATTGTAGGGATAGCAGATGCATGTGGATTTTTTGGAATCCAAGCTCAGGTCTTCATGCTTCACAGCAAGTCTTTCATCCACCGAGACACTGCCCAGCCCTGGTTTCTTAATCAATTCTAGTTAGTCTCTAGTACAATGGGAAGAAGGAGCAATGATCTTTAAAGATGGCCTATTTCTCTACCATAGCTTCACTAACAGGAGGCTAAGGAAGCAACACATGAGTGATGCCACTGAGAACAAGATCTGCAGAAATTCTACTGAAATGAAGTTTTCAAAGGCTGGACAATTGCTGATGGCTTAGCAGTTAAGAGCACTGGCTGCTCTTCCAGTATACCTGGGCTTTATTCCCAGCACCCACACGGCCTCTCACAATAATCTGTAATTCACTATTCTGGCCTCCAAGTCCATTGCATGCATGTGGTACACAGACATACATTCAGACAAAGCAACCATACACATAAAATAAAAATAACTAAATCCTTAGGAAAAAAGGATGGCCAATGCAAATGTGAGAAGACATTCTTTTCTTTCCAGTTCATTTCAATGCCTTTAGAAATGTATTAAAATTAAATTTTCATATATTTCCTTTTTATTTGTTTTTATTTGAGCATTTTAAAGACATGGTTTCATGTATTCCACACACTGCTCTGGAACACACAATGTATCCAAAGAGTGTTTTGAATCCCTGATCCTCCTGCCCCCACTTCCTAAGTGCTGGGAATAGACACCTAAGCCCCTACACCCAACTGAAAATTGGAAGCTTTAGAAGCTTTGATGTCAGATGTCCTCCATAAGGCCCATGTGTTAAAGGTTTGATCCACAGCCTCCCAAGAGTGCTACAGGCTGCAGGCTGAAGACTGAGATTTTAACATAGATGCCTTTGTGAAACTCTCCCTGAAGCCTGACAGGCCAGGAACACAGGCACAGAAACACT